TTTTCTCCCACATATGTGTTGAACGATAGGTTCTTAGTTAGTTTGTTGTCATATACATATATATATTAGGAGGCTCGTGGATCCCGATGATTAGAGAGAAGTGTTTTCAACAGTTTGTTCATTCCATACATTTTTGCATTCATAAGTGAAGTAAAATATAGTAGCCAGTGTAGGTTATGCACTGGAATATTTCAGTTAATAAAAATTGTGCAAATGAAGATTTTAAAAAAATTGACGGAGAAAAGATTTCGAAGGAAGGTTTTATAGATTGTCTAGTGTTTATATGTGTTATTTGTGTCTATGCTAAGTGATGACGAAATACTGGTTGTAGTTACGTGCATTCTACACCAACTTAGTATCCTAAAATTTCGTCCTAGTACATTTACCGTCGAAAATGTTCACTTCAGGTGTAAGTGCAGAAACTTCAGTGCAACGGTTGTTTTTTTGTTTTGTTTTATTCCTTCACGTTCCCAGTGGAACATAGGGCTTCAAGCTAGAGGCTTGAAGTTTCTGCAGCAGTATTTATTTTTACAGGATGGGGTTGCTAGCCTCATGCCCAACCTTTCCTCTTCGCCAGCTTTTTAGTTCTAGCTTAGCGAGGTAAAGGAGTGCGTCGGCCGGGGATCGAACCCCGGACCATGTGCATGGTCGGTGAGCGTCCTAACCGTTATGCCACCGACGCACCAGTGCAACGGTTAGCATCACGTTATTCTGCCAGTTGTATTACAGGCTATACAAAATTAACTAGTATAGTTTACTACTACAAGATATAGCTGTTAAGGTTTGCAGATGTATGAAGTTTTATATGTCTTGTCAATGTTACTTAATTGAAGTAGGACTTGCATTGAAGTAGCTAGATGACCAGTGCTTAGGCTGTGGTTTATGATCAGCTGGATCTTTTTATACTTATTCAGAAAATGTGGCAACCACAAAAGAGAACGAAAACACAATGAACAATTTTAATATGGTTATGGTGTCTGTTCGGAAGTATGAGTTATCCAACTGCAATGTGCATCGGTAGCACAGTGGTTAGGACTCTCGCCAACCATGCACATGGTCCGAGATTCAATCCCCTGCCGACGCACACGCCATATCTATAGTCGGCCTGCAAAATTTTGGGCTGCCGATATCCATGCTGAAAATTCCATACTTGTACTGAAAATACGGTGTGGCATCAAGCTGTAACCAAAATTTAAAAATTTAAAAAAATTGTTTATCCGGACATAAAAATCAAGACAATACCTACTTCATACATGAAATGTGAGTGTAAATGTTTGTTTGTTTACTTGTTTAACTAGGGAGGAGTTAATCATCCTACATTGGATGGCTGTACATCGATGGCACAGCGGTGAAGTGCTCGCTGACCATGCAGATAGTCCAGAGTTCGATCCCTGGCCACTGACGCACTCTTTTACCTCGCTCGCTAAGCCAGTAGAAAGACTGGTAAAGAGAGAAGGTTGGATATGAGGCTAGCAAACCCATCCTGTAAAAATAATCACCACTGCTACCGAAACTTCAAGTGCTCTAGCTTGAAGCCGCCGTATGTTCCACTGGGAACGTAAAGGAATAAAAAAACGACAACATTGGATGACTAGCCAATATCTACCAGGTAAAATATGGAAAGCAATGCGTAAACTTGGTAGATGATTAATAGCAATTGAATTAATAGGTGAAAGCATATAACACTAAAAGTAGGAAATAAAGTTTATACCAGTGAGAACTAAACAACATAAAAGAGGCTGGAATGGGGGGGGTCCTCAGTATAAATCCTTAAATGTTTACAGCAAAGCTGTTGATCCTGTTTTGTGAGCCATGATAAATAAAATTCGATGCAAATATCTTCCGTAATTACATAGATTAGATTTACTGGTTTTGGCTGATACCCACAGGTGAAGTAGTCTTGCTACTTTTGATAGATTAGTGGAAACATAGCATATCACTCAAAAAGCTCGATCAGCACTAATTCACGTCCATCGTTCACTGAATGAGCTAAACCTTTGAAATTTTCTCTTTTCCCTAATTATACTGACATGTGTTCCTCTAGCACGCATGCATAAATCTAGGTAAGTGCCACTTGTGCGACTAACTCTACTGAAAACATACATTAAGCTTTAAAAACTTTAATAGACCGTGAACTAACACTATGGTAGAATAACATAGTTCGATTTTATTTCGTGGATTCTCTTTAGCTGTATACAGCCTGTAATTTAAAATACAAAGAGCTGCAATAAAATTTTAAAACACTTTAGTTCATTAATTGGACAGTAATCATGTCATAGTGAAGTAAATTAAATTAACTATCCAGCTCAGAGAACACAACCACACCAAAATCATCCACCTGAGCTACAAATCTTCTCTATCATATTTACATCTTACGAGCGGAACACGCTTCTCTCTGTCCAAATGTGGGAAGACTTTGCCAAAAGGCAAGGATCCACCAGAAAACAACTATTCTTTCTCCATGAGTGCCTTCGTCATCAAATCCTGCCGACCAGTGTAAGATACAAACCACCAGTCAACTGCCCAATGGGTTGGAAATTGGCCGAACAGTGTAGAAGACGAAAAGTCAAATTAATGATTACAGACGCACATTATCGGATCAACAAATATAAGATGTCCAAAAAGAAAAACTAGAGAAAACCCCCAACCAGGAACACCTGTCAAAGCTGATCACCGCAATTACATTGTCAAGTAGAAAACACAGAGAACAAAGACGAAGAGTCCTCAAAACCAAGCTAGCCAAGATTAGAAGACAACAACCAGACAATACAACTATAGACTCCGTAGTCAACCTATCAAAACAACCACATCAAAAATGGAACAACAACTGCTACAAAAGGAATTAAACTACAACACTGGAGATGCTTCAAAAACTGATTTCTTCGCTGCCCTTGAATCATTACTTAAATCATCAAACTTGAACAAGGAAACACAGGAAGAGATACGCCAAACAATTGTACCAATGGTCAAACAGAAAACACAACACACACAACTCAACTCTGGAGAAGTATGGACCCTCAAAAAGCTGAGAAATAGGAAGGATATCGTCATTCTACCAGCCGACAAAGGAAGAACAACGGTATTCAAAGACAGAGAAGAATACACCAAGAAAGCTGAAGAACTACTCAAAGATGAGGATGTATATCAACAACTTTGAACAAATCCCATACAAACATTGAACAACCGCATCCAAAGGACCTTAAACAAACTCACCAAAACTGGACAGATCACAAAACAAGACCAATGGACCAGTCCTACCCCGATTCTACGGCAGACATAAAATACACAAGCCAAATATCCCGTTACGACCACTTGTATCACTCCCAGGAACTCCAACATATAATTTATCCAAAGAAAACTGAAACACCTAACGGAATCTTGTGATGATCACTTCATCAACTCTTCTATCCAACTTCTAGAGAAAATCAGAGGCATCCAAATAGATGAACAAGAAATAATGATATCCTTCAACTTCGCAGCGTTATATACCTCAATCGGACAAAAAACTAGCAAAGGAGACCATGGAACAATTACTCAGCAACGACGAACACCTCCCACATGAATCAAAAATGCAACACACAAGCTGGATGGAATGCATAAACCTGTGCCTGACAACATACTTCCAATTCAACGGCCAAATACATGAACAAGTCAAAGGAACACCCACGAGATCGCCAATATCAGGTTTGATTGCAGAAGAAGTGATTCAAAGGCTAGAAAACATAATCCTACAAGCAAATTAACTAGCCAGATCAGAGAACACAACCACACCAAAACAGGGAAGTACAACAGTTAAGAATGCTAAGGCTTTACAAATGTGTACTCATTAGGACCAAAGTAAATAGGAAAAGAAAGTATTATTGAGGGCAGAAACATGAAGAAAATAGGCTGAGAATAAAATAGATAAGCTGATAGTGAATGTATAACAAAACAGTAAAATACACAGACATTATTTATAATAATATTAAAATTACTCCACATTTCAGATCAACACTCGAAGATAACATGAAGCTTAGAAGGGAAGTGATTTAACCTACTAGTCGGCAAAGTGAAAGTCATGCATATGTTTATAGTTTACACTAAACAAAAAAATAAATAAATAAAATAAAATCACGCAACACCACGTGCATCTCACCTACCAATTACTTTCCATAAACGAAGACAGCAATTGTCGTGTAATAAGGCCTATCTACCACTTAGCTAGTAGCAAGCTAGTATATACAATGTAGATTGTTCTGAGCATTTAAAATTGAGTACAGATTAATTGTTCTCTGGTGGAGCCTTGCCTTTTGGCGAAGTCTTCTCACTTTCGAACAGAGGAAGCGTGTCCCGCTCGTAAGATTCAGTTATGATAGAGAAGATTTGTAGCTCAGGTGGATGATTTTGATGTGGTTGTGTTCTCTGAGCTGGATGGTTAATTTACGAGGCTTTCATCGCCCTATTAGGCGACATCTTCAGCGCATACTTCAATTTGAGTACAGATTACTTACTTACTGTCTTATGTCCTTGGCAGATGGGATTAGACTACACTGTAGAATTCAATAAAAACTCCCAGTTTAAGCTTCATTTACACGTGTGACTGCTCACACCTAGAGGTAGGCAGACAAGTTAATTTTTTAGATAAATCATATAAAGATACAACATCAACACCAAAAGCAACAACAATAACAAAAACAAAAAATACCAAAGTTATTTTTGCATCCGTATGCAGTAAAAATTATTGCTTTGCCTTTTCACGCTCATTACTCTAGGAATTTATTGGTGAAAATGTTTGTCAATGCATTATTTTCTATTGGTTAATACACGTTAGTTTGATTGTTCAAAAGGATACACCGCAATTTATTGAAACAGTTGAAGGTATACAAATTCGACTGAGGAGGAATTATTGTCACAGTGTCTAGAATTATACATTCGATGAATTTACACTCAATAATCCCGATAACGCTAACATTTTTAAAGCTGATTTATCCTATTAGATTTCTATCTCTTTTGTGAATAATTGTGTCAAATATATACATGCATACATATATATGACATGAAATGTCGTCTATCATAATTTCTTCTTGTGCATCTAACATATCTAAAGGTAACAAAAGTATTACATTATGCAATCCAATCACAAAACCTACTGATTGGAAATCAATAAGTGATATTATAACGGTATTATTAGTTCTCATCAATCTAGTCACATTTATCGGTAATCTACTAGTCATTCTGTCTGTGGCTACAGTGAACAAACTGAGAAAGATTTCCGACCAGTATATAGCTTCACTTGCATTAGCCGATCTACTTGTTTCACTTTTTGTCCTACCATTTGCAGTGATACGCCAAAATCTTGGTTACTGGCCATTCAAATCAATATATCTGTGTCAGTTTTATATATCTGCTGATATATTCACATGCTTGGCGTCTATCCTGAATTTATGCTGTATATCAATGGATCGATATGTAGCTATCAGCCATCCATTAAAGTATATCACCCGACGAAGTCGTCGTAACTCTTTTCTTATGATAGCAATAGCATGGATTATGCCAATTATTGCTATATTACCGCCTTTAATTGGATCAGATGAACATATAGTTGGTATTGGTTGTTGTTACATTACTTATAATAAGGGATATCGAATTTACTCATCACTGATAGCATATTTTTTTCCTTTAACAATGATTGCATATGTTCATTTAAGGATCTTTTATATAATTAAAGCAAGATCAAAAACACTTCAAGGATATAAACGCAACTCAAGAAATCAAGGTTGTTGTGAATGGCTATGGGAACAGTGTGTAGATCATCATCCAAAACCAAGTAGATCACGTGAAATCAGAGAAGCAGATGCAAAAACTGATAGTTCTAAACCTACCATGGATGATATTGATAGTTATTATCGAAGTGTCATAGAAGTGGAATCCTCTACACTAAGTTATTCATGCAAATCTACTGAACAAAATCATCATCAAACAAATGGAATGCATTCAAATTCTGTGCATAAAACATTCAGTGTTTCTTCACTTACAGAAATGGAAATTTACAGTCCAGAACCAGTTGACTCTAATTTAAAACTTTTGCATACATTTCAAGTACCTACTTCACAATATGAAATACAGACTCAGGTAGATTGCACTGAAACAACAAAAAATCACACTATAAAAATAAATTCGAATTTTGAGGCAATCAATCTGGAAGTTTTAAAATCCGGTGAGCGTATTCAGCATTTCATTTATGAACAACAACAACAAGACAATGATTATAATTCAAAACATCAAGTCACCTCCTCCTCCTATATTCCCAGAAATTCTTCACTAACTACAAGCAGTCAGGTTGACAAAAAAAAGAAACAAAGCAGAGGAGTGAGATTCTATCGTTATCAAGAGAAGTGTATATATAACAGAGAAAAAAAGAGTGTAAGAACAGTGACAATAGTGGTGGGATGTTTTTTTCTATGCTGGACGCCTTTCTTTTCTTTCTATCTCGGTGAGGCATTATTTGACTGTACATTTTCTGAGGAATTATATGCTATAGTTACATGGCTGGGATATTTAAATAGCATTTTCAATCCTTTTATATATGCTTTTTATAATAAGGAATATGCTAATGCTTTTGTGCAGATTATACATTTGAGGTGTTAAGTTAAGCATCACTCTTTATAAAGAAGGCAAGTCATCAGATCATCATTATAAGTGTTAGTTTTAGGAAATTATTCTTTTTGGAGATGAATAATGCATGATGTTAAACAAATATACCAAAGTTTTGTTTGTTTGTTTTTGTCAATAAACTTCATCAACTAATAACTTGGTGTACTTATTTCTGATGTATTATACATTTTTCACAATGAAACACATGCGTTTAAATAGCTAGCAATCCACACTTCTATAAAAGGTATGTTCCCTTAGTACTCCAAGAGAAAGTCTAGGAAGAGTAAATGTCTTAAACTTTTGAATTTCTAATATTTCTTTCGCTGTTATCAAGAGATTATGAAATTTCCGAAAATACCCATTGAGTCATAAAGAAAATAAAAGACAAATTCATCAGCGAAGAAAATTTTCTTTATCGACAAAATCATCTTCAGAGGCGGCTGTACAGTCGTATTTATACTTAACAAAAGTGTATAATGGTCTATTATTGAGTAGAAGGGCTGTGACATAATTGATATAATTACTCGGAAGTGGCTTTAGAAGTAAAAAATTAAAAGTTGTAAATAACGTGGTACTCCGCATATCACGCTACTGCCAAATGGCTCGCAGACATCCTCCTACCTATCAGAAATAACCTCTGCAAGCATAGTGTTTCTGATTCATTTGAATTCGTCGATTCAATAAGTGATGCTAATGTATCCGGGAAGAAAATGATATCCATGGATGTTACTCCCCTTTTCACCAATGTTCTCCTCACTGAAACTATTTGCTTTATATGCAGATTTATTGAGGATAATAATGTAGACGTGTGTGTTCCGACCCACTACTTAAAGGAACTACTATTAAGGTGCACTTTAAACGTCCAATTCAAGTTCAACAACACGCTTTATAGACAAAGAGATGGAATGGCGATGGGGTCACCTTTGGGTCCTTTACTTGCAGACTGCTTCTTGGCAAGTTAAGGAGAATAGTATGTGACGGCCTACTATCGATAGTTTCCATTTGTACAAAAGATACATGGATGATACTTTCATCATATGTGACGACAATACCGACATCGAATTGATAACTAAAGAGTTCAACAGCTGCCATCATGCCATCCAGTCCACGTCGGAATCAGAGATGAACTCGGAATTCCATTTTTTTGGGTGTTTTTCTAAAAAGGAGATCTGATGGTTCTCCTCAAAGATTGATCTACAGGAAACCAACATGAAATGGTCAGTACTCGAATTTTCATAGTTGGGTCCCTTTGAGAAGAAAGAGAAACCTGATCTATTCCTTATCCTCAAGAATAAGAAGGATATGTTCCAGTGATACAATTGATGGGGAACTGGGGCGACTCAGAAAAGTCCTCATAGAGAATGGATATCCTCCAAGATTTATCGAGAAAAACATGAAGTTAAGGGAAAAGCCTGAAAGAACCCAGACGGTGCCGAAGAAACTGCTGTTTATGAGTGTTGAATTTAAAGGTGTTACCCCAGCTGAGATCATGAAGAATCGCTTATGCAGATCACCAGGGAAAGCCTTCTTTATGACTGAGCTACGTATCAGTTTCTACAGCCAACAAATGATCAGTGGATGTGTGAAGGATAAACTGCCACTTTGGGTCACTTCAATGTGTGTTTATAAATTCACCTGCTCATGTGGAGCTAGTTATATTGGCTGCACAAAACGCACACTTTCCAAACACATCTCTGAACATTGTCCGTCATGGTTAGCAAAAGGACAATGCAAGACAATTACTAGCTCAATTCTCGAGCACTTTGGACTCAGGTCACGCAGCTCCACCAGAGTCGTCTTTCAAGATCATCTACAAGGTGAGGTCAAATGGTACAAAGGGCGTCAGGTTTCGGCTTTTGTGTATGGCGGAGGCGCTGGCGATTCGTCAATACAACCCGAAACTCTGTATACAGAAAAAGTTTGTACAGTCTCTTATTCTACCTTGGTCTTAACCTCTTCACTAGTCGTATCCTGTAAAAAATCTTAACTTTCTTTTTTAATTTTTAATTTTACTTTTAGTTTGCTTTTACTTTAATAATTAATTCACTATTATCACTCTCATATGTTCCTTTTGTACATTTTCACAGCCTCTTCACACTTGTTAAATTGACACTCAACTACCTTTATTCTCACTCAATAGCAATTTTAACCTTATCAAATTTCTATCTTTGTGCCGTTGAGTACCACGTAATTTACAACTTTTAATTTCATTTTCGCTTCTAAAGCCACTTCTGAGTAATTATATCAATTATGTCACAGCCCTTTTACTCAATAATAGACCACTATACATTTTTGGTAAATATAAATACGACTGTACAGCCGCCTCTGAAGATGATTTCGTCGATAAAGAAAATTTTCTTCGCTGATGAATTTGTCTTTTATTTTCTTCATTACGAAAATCTGACCAGGAAGGCAATCTATTCCCTACAGACTGAATATACGAATACCTAATTTAAAACATTTTCTTCATTAATTATCTAAAAATAAAGACAAATTTCTATAATGCCTGTTAAAAAACTTGATGAACACATTTTGAAATAAAAGAGAAACAAACTCATGTGTAACTAAGTCACGGAATGCATTGATCCGTTTCAAATTCGTTAATAAGACTAATTTTCATGTTAAAGGATTTAAAGGAAGGATGTACAAGGCATTGGATGAGATGAAATCATTTTATATATAACGAAAAGCAAAAAAGAGAAATTTGTGGTAGGAAGTAGGAAGACTCATGTGCGTATATACGCCTAAAAAATAATTCAAACTTTCACTCTTTCTGGTTTTGAAATTCTGTAAACTTACTGTCACACATACTTTCAATGAATATGAGTTGAATTTCTTTATTACTAAGTAAATCATAGTTGAAGAAACTCAAAATTTAAAAGAGTTTGACGTATCACGTGGCAATAGACCAATGTGAAGCACTTCTGTCTGATGTGCAGTGCAAAACCAAGAAATTATGATATCTCCTGCTATGTCTTCTTCGATTATATATATATATATATATATTTTCCTTCACGTCCTCATAACATAGTATTGTCTTATTCGACCATGCATGTCGTTATGCTCTTCTTCGATAAATGCATGTAATTCCGTTGGATGCGAATTAGGATGTAGCGTCACTGTCTACCAATGTACCACTTATGGAGACTGTGGAATTCATATGCCAACAGATACTAGAAAAGCAGATTGACATCGGAATTCCAGTTATTAGTCTGAAAGAGTTGCTTTTAAGATGTACTATGAATGTACATTTCATATTCAACAACCTTTACTACAGCCAAATCGACGGTATTGCGATGGGTTCTCCATTGGGGCCAATTTTGGCAGATTTCTTTCTAGCCAAGATTGAAAATGGTCCATTGAGACAAGTAATAGAGAAAACTGATTCTTATTTTCGTTATGTTGATGATACGTTCATTATTCTTGATGTGAAAACTGACAAGAATGAAATGTTAAAAAAGTTTAATGATGCACATCCATCGCTCATCTTCACCTGTGAAGAAGAACATGATGGTGGATTACATTTCCTTGACGTCCAATTGAGCAGAAGAGAGGATGGTTCACTCAAGAGAGATGTCTATAGAAAACCTACATCTGTAGGACAATATACACATTTCTTCAGTTTTGTACCAATCCGATATAAAATCAATTTGGTCAGATGCCTTACGAATAGAGCAAGACGTATTTGTACAGATGACTCCCTAGAAAATGAGCTAGGAAATATCCAAAATACGCTGGTCCAAATGGGTTATCCTAGTAGATTTGTTAGGAGACACATGAATACCAGGTACAACAAAGAAAAACTGACAACAGTTAAAAAGAAAGAACTGTTCATGAAACTTCAATTTAATGGGGACGTGGCTAGTGAAGTCTTACATCTGAGATTGTCGAGAGCAATAAAACGGACTTATACTGCCGCCACCCTTTGTTTGTCATTTTCCAGCCGACCAATTTTGATTGCTCAAATGAAAGATAAGCTACCTAGTTGTGCCACTTCGATGTGTATCTATAAATTTAGTTGCTCCTGTGGAGAAAGCTATATAGGGCGAACAACTAGACAACTTAACAAACGCATTAATGAGCATCTTCCTTCATGATTCGGAAAAGGTCAAATAAAATCCATGCGAAGTTCTATTTTGGCTCATTTGATTGATAGCGGTCACCAAGTGGACAAAAATAGTGCTTTCAAAGTTATCTATCGTATTCCATCGAGTCTTTCGAATGGAATCAGAACCCGTCTTTTATACCTAGCCGAAGCTATGGGAATTCGAGAGAGCAATCCTAGTCTTTGCATACAAAAGAAGTTTGTTCAACCTTTGTCTCTCCCTTGGCCTAGGTGAATTCTATTCAAAACCCTCCCACCCTTTCTTATTTTCCACCTCATTCGTACTTTTATAATATTTATTAAACTCTGATTATCGTTCCACTTCACCTTTTAAGATTTGACCCAATTTATTATACACTTATATACATATACTATCTTTGTTATTCTTATCACCTGCATAAACCTTATTATCAATATTTTGTTATCATTATAATCATCGTTATTAACAACGTTCAAAACATTTACCACATTATTATTATTAAGATTATTATTTGATTCCCAAAATCACCGTGATTGGTTAAAATTTTGTATATAAATCTATGTAAATTAGAGTAAAGCCTGAAGATCTAACTGAAAACAATATTGTTCGCTTATATGTCTTGTTCTAAGAAGACATTGCGAAATGGTCGCGCTATGTCGTGAATTGGCAGAAGTTAGAATTCAAGGACCATTGGATCGGGTCCCAGTGGCTCAATGGTCTACGAGCTCGCCTTGTAACCAGAAGGTCCTGGGTTCGAATCCCGGGTGGGCGCGTGCTGATGAAGAGTCCCAAACTAGGACGAAACAGCTGTCCAGTACTCCCAGGTTTTCCAGTGGTTCTCTAACTGATGTCAGCTCATGATGAAATCCTCCATACAATTAAACAAAATCCCTACCAAACCAATACTTGAAAATTAATCTGATGCTCACTAGTGACTGGCCCTATTCAGGCAGTTAACCTGGGGTTCTAGTGGGAAGCCGTGACCAGTAGGGTACAGCAGGTTGAAGATGTGACAGTAACTCATCTAAGAAGACATTGCGAAATGGTCGCGCTATGT